ATTGACGGGGCCTGTTGATAGCAAATACTTTTCATTTTTCTTTTTTTTAGAGGTTACATGAGAATCAAAAACCCCAGCTCTCACCAACACTTACTGTTTTATTTGTTAATTGTACATCTGGTGCCCTTTTGGCTTTTCAGAAGCAAAACGGCAAAATCATGAATAATTTTGGTTTCCCGTGAGCTGCTTGCAGTGATGACCCCTAGACTTAGGGCTAAGTCAGAATGTGGTTGCATGACTGGTGAAGTATTTTGCAGGGAGAAGAGCAACGTTTTCTACTCATGCCTGGTGATCTTTTATTTTCAGCTTTTCACTATCGTTATTTTGAAAAGCACAGCTTAGAAGTGAGCTTCTTCCAAAATGAATGTCCAGCGGGTAAAATCTTGGTTTTATCAAAGTGTAAATTGTTAAAAGGGATGTAAAACATCTTCCCTGGGCAGGGATGTTACTTACGTGAAACAATTTCAGATGTGCAAACCCTGAATCATTCCCAGAAAGGAGAAAAAAAGCTTCGAAGTTAATGGCATAATGAGAGCTTTTATGCTGTAAAATACAGGGAATTGTGTGGGATTTATATCAGAGATTTGGGAAATAAAACCTCCTTTATGCACTTCATTAAACCCCTTTAAAAAAAATACCGATTTTCTACACAATCACCTTCTCTGCATTTCATCACTGCCACCCACAAGCTCTCTGGGCTGAAAACAAAACAAGAAACCTTTGGGAAAAAAAGTCCTTCAAAGACAAAGCTGACCTTTTTTTCCTTTTTTTTTTTTAAATTTTGTAAATGCCAAATACCTGTGAGCAGAAGGTTGGGTTGCAGGGTGAGGGGCTCCAGCAGCAGCAGCTGAAGGTGCTGAGGCATCTGGAGAGGGTCCACAGGGCTCTGAGATTTCATGACCTCCTTTGATCCTTACGTTTGATAACACCTATTTGGTGTCTCTATCCATTGGTACGTTCCTCTTGGTATTTCCTTTCCCAAACTTCCCACAGACTGGAGCTGCCTTAAATCTTGTCTCGTTAGGTGCTGGGTGCTCTCATTGTAGCCCCAGTGACTCCAAAGGCAACTTTAGCGGGAATCGGGATTGCAGCTTTTCATCTCTTTCAGTTGTAATATATGACATCTAATGGACACATATTCTTGTCTTTTAGCTAAACGCAATAGCGATTGTATATATGCACATATATGCAATACACAATATATATACACAATATATGCAACTATTTTGTGCATAGTATCCAGGTAAATACGTACTTAGCACAAGCAGTATTGATCCAACGGGGGATTGAACCGCACAGATGCGGATGCAGGACGCGATGCCTGTGGGACACTGCAGGGCCTCCAAGGATTCTGCTTGTGGCTCTGTGCAGTCCCGCTGGTGTCTTTAGTGGCAAGCTTTGATTTTTACAAAGCTCTGGGCTGGCAGAGCTCGCAGGCTGCCCTGTGACCATTCGGCAGAAGCGTTTGCACCGGGGACAGTGTCTGGAGCCCCCGTGAATGGCAATGTCACTGCTGATACAAGGGATGCTCACCAAGGGCTGGGGCCTGAACCTGTTCATGGCCCTTGCTGTGTTTTCTTCCTTAAGCCGTGATGGGTGGTGACATCTGAGGCCATGAGCGGTGGGAGCACAAAAACAGGACCCGCAGGAATTCGGGGACTGCCAACTTCCGAGCGGCATCTTGCATCCAGTGTTTATATACATGTATTTTACTCTAGGGAGCTTAAAGAATTTCTGCTGTTAAGTATTTATATGTCTACCCCAGCGCGTATGAAGGAGTCATTCTCCTTCTGGCACCCGGGCTACGAAGCCCTTTGATGATAGCCAACATTTCACAAGGGCTTTGACCGCACACATAGGATGAAGGGTTACTTTGTGAACTGAATAATTAGTTTAGACATATATTTGATAAATAGCAAGCTCTCCCTTGACCTTTCTGTACCCAAGTTGTGTGTTATCGTTCTGCTGGGCAGCTAATTTAGTCTCTTCTGCATGGAGCGGCCTTGGAGCGCCCGCTCGGGTGCAGCACCAGTGCGTTTTAGCTCTTTTAATTTAGGTCAAATTTCAAAGGACTAATTTAAGGCTTTCCACAAGAGACAGCCTAATTCCATCTCCTGTGAAAGTCACAGTAGTTTAAAATGGGCCTTAAATGTGTGTTTGGGAGGTTCCCAGGAGGAGCTGGGACGGGGCCCTGCTTTAGTGGGGTGATGCTTAGCTGGGCTCTGGCAGCGAGTCCCGGTTTGTCACTGGGTTTTAACTGTGTCACAGCTGTTTGCTGACAGCAAGCAACATAAAACGCGTTCTGTGCAGCACCCAAAGCAATGCATTCATTTTACTTTGTTTAAAAAGGAAGAAAGAAGGAGCAAATGGCCGTGCTTCAAGGCTGAGCTCACACGCTCCGCAGAGCCCGGCCGCACGTGGCTCCAAGTGGCATTTGCCTCTATGCAAATGCATTCACAGATTAGTATTTTCTTAGAATGAACGTTTTGTTTAGGAACACATGGAAATGGGAAGAGAACACATAGCTGTGCTGCTTTTGTATCATTAATGGAGGAAAATTCCTTATGAGAAGTCTCGTATTTTTAAGTGTTAAAAATTTTGCGATCCTCAGGATTGAAGCTGTGCAATGACAGACTTTTTCATGCAAGCAAGAGAACACCTTAGCAATATAACCCTGTGTTCTTCATAGAACCAGCACCCACTTAGGCAAGTTATGTCTTGCCTGTTTGCAGTTCTGCACCTGGTTTAATTAGAAGAGAAAATTTATTTCAGCGGAGTTCAGCAAGGGCAGGACTGAAAAGACATGGGGAACCCAAAACATGTCTGAAGTGATTAAGAGGCTGCCGTTTTGCACCCGTTTTGCTCAGGGTTTGGTTCTGCCATCGTTAACCCCAGGCGTGCTGCGCTCCTGGCTCCTGGGTTTGCGACGGCAGCGGGAAACCAGGCAGGGAGCCGGCCGGGGCAAAATTACGGAATTTTGGAACTGATTTCAGTGGGACACTGAGTTTGGATTTGGGTTTGCCCTGTTGAGCCATGCGGCAATGGCGTTTTTGTGAATTCGACACAGTGTGCCCCAAAATCAGATTCCCTCTTGCCGTGCCAGGGACTAGCCTGATTTTTAAGCTGATGGCGGGTGAAGCTGGAACGACTCTGAGCACAGGCAAATCCTAAATAAAGCCCAGATTTTGGAGCGCGCAGCAGCCGGGAGCTGCTGTTGCAGTTCCGCATCGCGCGATCCCGCTGCGCACGCAGCAGCAGCAGCAGAATCCTGCACCGGGCGCTCACGCTTCCCCCATGGGCCTTCCTTCGAAAAGTAACTGCTGCAAAACACAATATTGTGCAAAAGTAGCTTTTTTTTATATATATATACTTTCAAAGGCAAGTATTTATTACCAGTTAATGCACATCGCTCCATCTTTTTCTCCGTCTTTATTGTTATATTTGCTGTTTTTTTTTTTTTACGGAAACCCTGTTTAGCTGTTTCGGAATTAGGCTTTGTCTTCCTGGGTTCTATTCCCAGAGCAGCCAGCACTGCTGGCACAGATAGGTTTCAGAGACTTCAGTTTTTGCTGGTTCAGGTCCTTTTTATTGCTTGTCACTGCAGAAATGATGTTCTCCGTATCAACTAGGGGCAGGAGGGCAAGGCGAGCCCTGGCTGAATTCTGCTATGCCTTTCCTTCAGTCGCCTTGCTATTTTTATTTTAATTGTATTTTTTAAAACGGCTGTGGTGAAAGCGTTTGGTAAACCTCAGAGAAGCTGCGGAGTTTTGAGATGTGACCTACTTTAATTCCCTTCCTCACAT